CCCTCCAGTCGTGTTTCTGATGAAGCTCAGCTGTGTGAGGAGCAGGAGTCAGATTCGGAAGGCTCACACCTGGATGAGCTGATTGATGCTCGCAGACGTCGTCAAGTAGCAAGGAAAAAACAACAGTCTATGCGACTACTCGAGAGTAAAAAAAGAAGGCAATGAGAGGCAACGCCCTGGGACTGCTGTATAAAAAGGGGAGTTGTGGGCGTTGCTGGTTGCTGAAGGCAACCGTTTGCAAAGTGCTTCTTGGAATCCTGGTCTGTTCATCTTGTTTGCAACGTGTTTCTGTGGACTATTTCCTTCCTTTGGACTTGAGGTTTGCTGTTTGTGTTTTGGACTTATTGACAGGATTGTCACCCAAATAAAAGGGATTTTGTTTTGTTTTAACGTTTCCAGCCTATTGTATCAGCAGGGGTTGGTCCTTGTGCCTTTAACAAGGACGGCAATAGGCTGGGATAGAACAGATAGATAGATAGATAGATAGATAGATAGATAGATAGATAGATAGATAGATAGATGGATGGATGGATGGATGGATGGATGGATAGATAGATAGATAGATAGATAGATAGATAGATAGATAGATAGATAGATAGATAGATAGATAGATAGATAGATGATAGATAGATAGATAGATAGATAGATAGATAGATAGAGATGGATGGGTGGATGGATATAGATAGAGAGATGATAGAGAGATAGAGATAGAGATTATAGACAGACGGACGGACGGACGGACAGACAGAGATAGATGAGAGAGAGAGATGGATGGACGGATGGATAGAGCTAGATAGATAGATAGATAGATAGATAGATAGATAGATAGATAGATAGATAGATAGATAGATAGATAGATAGATAGATAGAGATGGATGAATGGATGGATGGATGGATATAGATAGAGAGATGATAGATAGATAGATAGATAGATAGATAGATAGATAGATAGATAGATAGAGATGGATAGATATAGAGAGATGATACTATCTATCTATCTATCTATCTACTATCTATCTATCTATCTATCTATCTATCTATCTATCTATCTATCTATCTATCTATCTATCTATCTATCTATCTATCTATCTATCTGTGTCTCTCTATCCCTCTCTATCTTTATCTACTATCTATCTCTCTCTCCCTCCCTCCCTCCTTCTTTCCATCCACCCATTTAAATAGGAATTCCTCCCCCACCTCCCCCTCCTTTTCCTGCCCTCTTGGACCTGCTTATCATCCTGCGGGGGGGGGGGGGCTGGAACAATCCTCCTCTCCGCCGGTCCCGCAACCATTGCTGCGGCGACACTTCGGGTTCCCCAGCGACGACGGCGCTCCGCCCGCCTCGAAGGGGAGCCGGAAGTGTCTTCCTCCTGCAGCCTTGCGCGGCCTCTGCTCCGCGGACTCCCGCTGGCATTGGAACTCGAAGGTGGGCACAGCGGCGGGAGAGTCTCAAACTGCCCCCCCTCCTGCCCCTTCCCCCGGTGGTTTGCAAAGCATGGGCAGCCCCCTCAGTCTGCCCTCCCTTGCAAGGTGGGGGGGCTCCCTGTTCGGGGGGGGTGAACCGCAACCCCATCATCCCAGCCTGCGCGATGTGGATGCGGGAAGCGGAGGACCTTACAGGAAGGGGGTGGGGAGAGAAAAGACATCCGGGGATGGGAGCCTCGGACGAGCCGAATATCCTCCCTGCAAAGAAAAAAAAAAAAAGCATCTCAAGGCCAAGCACCCCGGGGCGTGTGCAGAGTACTTTGCCTTTTCTCCACTCCGAAGTGGAGCGCCTCTAAAACTTCTTGCTTGGTCTTGGGGCTTCCTTTGGGGGTGCAGGGGTGGGAGTCCTTCCAGGATTAGAGAAGGGGGGGCTAATCCATATGCATCCATCCCTCCATGTTCTAATCCATATGAATCCCTCCCCCATGTCCTAATCCATGTGCATCCATTCCCCCCATGCCCTAATCCTAATCCATGTGCATCCATCCCTCCATGTCTTAATCCATGTGCATTCATTCCCCCATGCCCTAATCCTAATCCATATGTATCCATCCACCCATGCCCTAATCCTAATCCATGTGCATCCATCCCTCCATGTCCTAATCCATGTGCATCCATTCCCCCCATGCTCTAATCCTAATCCATGTGCATCCATCCCTCCATGTCTTAATCCATGTGCATCCATTCCCCCATGCCCCAATCCTAATCCATGTGCATCCATTCCCCCATGCCCTAATCCTAATCCATATGCATCCATCCATCCATTCATGTCCTAATCCTAATCCATGTGCATCCATTCCCCATGCCCTAATCCTAATCCATGTGCATCCATCCACCCATGCCCTAATCCTAATCCATGTGCATCCATCCCTTCATGTTCTAATCCATGTGCATCCATTCCCCCATGCCCTAATCCTAATCCATATGCATCCATCCATGTCCTAATCCATGTGCATCCATTCCCCCATGCCCGAATCCATGTGCATCCATCTCCCATGCGCTAATCCATGTGCATCCATGCCCTAATCCATGTGCATCCATTCCCCCATGCCCTAATCAACACCCAGACCCACCGCTAGAGGCTGTGCCCAAAAAGTGGGCTAGTTCCAAATCCAGGTCACCAGGGTTGTGTGAATGCAGGCTTTCTCTCCCATGGCCTGGATGTGTGATGTCTCCTTCCCCTGGAAGCCACTTTTCTCAGGGCTGGATTCAGAAGTGTGAATCCCTCGAGAGGCTGTGGTTGAATCTCTCTCTCTCCTCTCCTTTGCAGGTGACGGACACCATGGCTTTGCGGCCGCGGTCTGGATTGGCTTTTCTGCGGCCTGCCGCGGAAACCTGGGTGGGGCCCTTGCCCAAGGTAGGCTACGGGGCAGGAAGGAAAAAGGAGATGCAAGGACAGGTAGGTCCTTGAGTTACGACCACAATGGAGCCCGAAGCTTCGGTTGCTAAGTGAGACAGTGGTTAATTTTGCCCCATTTTACCACCTTTCTTGCCACAGTTGTTCAGTGAACCATTGTGTTGTTTCTCTGGGTCATATCTGTGTGCGTATATGGGTATATGCATTTTATTTAATTTATTTATTTTTGTTATGTTTATGCCGTGTATATTGGAGGTGGTTACACTCTGAGAGCTGTATGCAACGAAATCTCAGTTTAATGTAGGCTGATTAGTGTACATTTAAAATGACAATAAAGTTATTAACCTATCCTATCCCTATCCTATGCTATTCTGTTTCTCTATCTTCTAGTTCTATTCTATGGTATTCTATTCTATGGTATTCTATTCTATGGTATTCTATTCTATTCTATTCTTATTCTATTCTATTCTATTCTTATTCTTATTCTTATTCTTATTCTATTATCTATATCAGTGATGGCGAACCTTTTAGAGACCGAGTGCCCAAAACCCGCCTCACCCCTGCCCTGTCCCCGCGTCTCCTGCCCGCAGGGCCACCCACCGCCTCCACGGCCCGCCACAGCACATCGCCCAGGCAGCCCAGCAGCATCATGGGGGCCTCTGTCCGCGTCTCGCAACATCATCTGTACGCGATGGGGCGTGAGGGCGGAGTCTTATCCCCGCTGCCCGGCTGCCATGTCCTTGGCTGCGCTGCTCTGCACAGGCTGCACCAGGGGCAACTCTCCTCCGGGAGGGCTGCTGGTGAGGAGGGGGCTGTGGGGGGAGACGGAGCTGGGATGACGGCGTGCATGCCCACAGAGTGGGCTCTGAGTGCCGCCTCTGGCACCCGTGCCATAGGTTCGCCACCACTGATCTATATCTTCTATTTTGTTCTGTTCTGAAGTGCCCAAAACTGGAAGTTTTTAAGAAGAGACTGGACAGCCATTTCTCTGAAATGGTATAGGGTTTCCTGGCTGAGCAGGGGGTTGGACTAGAAGACCTCCAAGGTCCCTTCCAACTCTGTTATTCTATTCTATTCTATTCTATTCTAATTCTAATTCTAATTCTATTCTATTCTATTCTATTCTATTCTATTCTATTCTATTCTATTCTGTTATCTATATCTTCTATTCTGTTCTGAGGTGCCCAAACATTGCCCAGTTCTTGTATTTTCAACTTTTCTTTTCTGCAAAAAAGCAACCGATTCTATCCTTGAGTCTCTGAGTTGCATTGTGGTCTCCTGAGGGGAACTGATGCTTTTTTAAAAAAAAAATTAGAAACATTACATAGCTTTTTTAGGTTTCTGTAGCTTTTTATTTAGGTTTTTCTTAGGCTCTGTATTCCTTCTTTCCTGAGGAGTACAAAGAAGTTCAAGGGGCATTCCGTTTCCCCTCACAACAAATTGGAAGGGACCTTAGAGGTCTTCTAGTCCAACCCTCTGCTCAAGTAGGAATTCCTATACCATTTTGGACGAGTAGTTGTCCAATCTTTTCTTGAAAACCTGCAGTGATGGAGCACCCACGACTTCTGAAGGCAAGCCATTCCACTGATTAATTGTTCAAAGAAGAGGAACTAAGACGATTAAAGGCCTAGACCAGGGGTAAGCAACCTTGGCTCTTTTATGACTTGTGGACTTCAACTCCCAGAATTCCTGAGCCAGCCATGCTGAGGGGAAAGGGAGAGGTTTCCAAGCTGAGCCATGCTGGCTCAGGAATTCTGGGAGTTGAAGTCCACGAGTCATAAAAGAGCCAAGGTTGCCTATCCCTGCCCTAGACACTAAAACATATGAAGAATGGTTGCACCATTTGGGTTTGGCTAGTCTAGAGCAGGGGTCCCCAACCCCCCGGTCTGTGGACCGGTACCGGGCCGTGGCATGCCAGCAACCGGTCCGCACAAATAAGCAAAGCCCCATCTGTGAGATGCAGGCAGCACACAAAACCACACACTCTCCGGTCTGTGGAAAAACCTTTCTTCATGGAACCGGTCCCTGGTGCCCAAAAGGTTGGGGACCTCTGGTCTAGAGAAAAGAAGGACTAGGGGGGACATGATAGCAGTTTTCCAGTATTTGAGAGACTGCCACAAAGAGGAGGGGGGGTCAATTATTTTGCAAAGCACCAGAGGGCAGGACAAGAAACCATGGATGGAAACTAATCTAGAGAAGCCACCTGGAATTAAGGAGAAACTTCCTAACAGCGAGGACAATTAACCAGTGGAACAGCTGGCCTTCAGATGTTGTGTGGTCTCCACCACTGGAGGTTTTTAAGAACAGATTGGACAGGCACCTGTCTGAAATGGTATAGGATCTCCTGTTTGAGCAGGGGGGTGGGCTAGAAGGCCTCCAAAGTCCCTTCCAGCTCTATTCTGATTCTAACTGTTAGGAACCCCCTGAGAAAGAGAATGAGGTCCAAAGTCTCTCTGGACCTTTTCCGGCTGGTCTCCCTGGTGCTAATCCTCCAGCATGATGCTTACTTCCTGCTTATTTTTGTTTCAGCAGCTATGGGCTACTGAAGGTCTTCTGGAGAACAGGCTGTGGGTCCACCTGACTTTCCTTCTAGGTTGTGACTTGGACCTTCTCTTTCAGGCCGTCGTGTCATTCGAAGAAGTGGCTGTGTATTTCACAGAGGAGGAATGGGCCCTGCTAGATCAGGGCCAAAGGACCTTCTACAGGGAAGTCATGCTGGAGATGTACGGGATGGTGGCCTCATTCAGTGAGTCTCCTTGAATCTGCTCTTGATTCCTGTCTCTTCTCTGTGTGACCTTGGTGGATTCCAAGTGAGGTCATTTTGAAAAGTGGAAAGTCTTCCCAGAATGCTTCTGTGTGGAGATACCTCCTTTTTTGGTCCACTTGGGGTTGAAGGATCCCATGATCTGAAGCATGGCCGCCATTTCAGCTCCTCCTTTTGTCTATGGAGATTCTTAGTCATCGAGGTCATAGTTGTCCCAAAGATGCTTTTTCATGAAGCAGCTGGACTTCTGTTCAAGACATTTATGAACAAAGGATGCTTGTGATGACCATCCTTCCTTCCTTCCTTCCTTCCTTCCTTCCTTCCTTCCTTCCTTCCTTCCTTCCTTCCTTCCTTCCATTATTTTATCCATTTGTTTTTTAGCAGCCCAAAGTACTTAGTTAAGATGGGTAGCTATGATGAATGAATAGATAAAAGGATGGACATGATAGATAGACAATAGAGAGATATGATAGTCATCCCAAAGATACTTCTTCGTAGGCAAATGGACTTTCTTGGTTTTCTTTGAAGACATTTTACTTTTCATTCAAGAAGCTTCTTCAGCTCTGACTGGATGTGGGGAATGGAAGGATTTATACTCCTTGCAGACAGCTGGTCATTTGCATTCTTTTAGAGAGTCATTGAGGCCACCTAGAGGTTTATTTGTGTCTTTGGGCTCACCTGAGTAGTGCAAATGGATGTGGAGCTTTCTTGGAACTGCTGAAAGGACTGTGTTGTAGACTGGAGATAGATGATGTCGTATCCCTCCCCCTCTGTTGAGAGAGGGCTGTTCAATTTTGGCATAGATGGCCTCTTTGACCCCTCTTTCAAACCAGCGGTCCTTCATCTATCTCCAGTCTACAACACAGTCCTTTGAACACTTCCAAGAAGGCTCCACAGCTATTTGCACTACTTAGGTGACCTTGAGGACAGAGATAAACCCCCAAGTGGCCTCAATGACTCTAAAAGAATGCAAATGACCAGCTGACTGCAAGGAGTATAAACCCTTCCACTCCCCACCATCCAGGCAGAGCTGAAGAAGTTTCTTGGATGATCGTCCTTGATTCTTACTGTCTGCTTCCGTTATCTGTGGGCCTGTATTCCATTCACCCATCCTCCCCCCAAGTTTGTTGGCAAGCTAAGAAGCAATAATTGTTGCACCAGCAAAGCAAGCTTCAAGCTTGACAAAATGTGCATATGTGTGTATGGCCGGACGAAAGCTTAGTGACTCTTCTTAACCACAGGCTTGTTTATATTAAACAGTCTGGTTTATTATATCCTGGTGTTCACTTTTTCTTTATTTGGTTAATATGTGTGTATGTGTATGGATAGATATATACTTTCTTTTGAGAGCAGGCAACAGAATTTCATTTTTAATGTGGGCCAGGTTATCTTATCTCATCTCTTCTTATCTCTTATCTATCTCATATCTTACCTTACCTTATCTTAGAACTTCTCTTGCTTCTTAGGTGCAAAATGGCTGTTTTGGGAAGTCTAAATATTTTGTGTTTAGACATTAACATCTTGTTTGTTTCTTCCAAAGAATTTCCCAAACCTGAGATCAAATCCCAGATAGAAGAAGGTGAAGATCTACTGGATGAGGCAGGAGAAAGACCAGCAGGAATCTGTTCAGGTGAGTGATAAGGAAACTAGATAAGGATAGATATGGGTTTAATTTTTCATCTTCTAAGAGAGACTTGTCTGAGTTGAGTTGCCAGTTCATTCTCATTTGGATGACCCATCCCTCATTCCTTCTTTTTCCATATAACAATCTGCATGGAATGTTTAAAAAAAGTGGTTCTATCACTACAAGCTTGTGGAGAACTCAACAATGTCCTTTGGGAAATGTCCTACTTTGCAAAAGACCTTGAGAACTGACACCAGATGTTTGAAGCCACAACAATACTTCATAGGAAGAAAAAAATGAAATCCATAAAAGGAGGAAAGATTCATTAGGACCCAGCAAATGTCAGAAAGGCCTGGGCAAGATTTTATCCTGCCGGAGCAGGGGGTTGGACTAGAAGACCTCCAAGGTCCCTTCCAACTCTGTTATTCTACTCTATCTTCTTCAAACATCATCACAGAAGATATTTGAAGAGGTGGGTAAGTTCCAATATGAAACCGGGATTTTGTGACATTTTGGAAGGAGATAATCCAGCAGATTCCAGCTTAAGGGCAAATTTTGGCAGAATATTCCAAAAATGTAAATGATTGTCTCTGGAACCAGTAACTCAGAGAGGTGGTTAGCTCCCTTTCATTGTCTGTGTTCAAGAAGAAACTGGAGGCCCCTCCATCAGGGATGCCTTAATTAGAATCAAGATCACGTGAACTATTAATACCACTTTACAATGCCTTAGTAAGGCCACACTTGGAATACTGCATCCAGTTTTGGTCATCACGATGTAAAAAAGATGTTGAGACTCTAGAAAGAGTACAGAGAAGAGCAACAAAGATGATTAGGGGACTGGAGGCTAAAACATATAAGGAACGGCTGCTGGAATTGGGTATGTCTAGTTTAATGAAGAGAAGGACGAGGGGGGACACAAATACCTCAGGGGCTGCCCCAAAGAAGAGGGAGTCAAGCTATTTTCCAAGGCGCCTGAAGGCAGGACAAGAAGCAACGGATGGAAACTCATCAAGGAGAGAACCAACCTAGAACTAAGGAGAAACTTCCTGACAGTTAGAACAATTAACCAGTGGAACAACCTGCCTCCAGAAGCGGTAAATGCTCCAGCACTGGAAGTCTTTAAGAAGAGACTGGACAACCATTTGTCCGAAATGGTATAGGGTTTCCTGCCTGAGCAGGGGGTTGGACTAGATGACCTCCAAGGTGCCTTCCAACATCATCATCATCATCATCATCATCATCATCATCATCATCATCATTATTATTATTATTATTGGATTTCTGCCTTGAAGGGGTTGGCCTTCATAGCTTCAGAAATCGCTTCCAACCCTAGGATTTTATGGACTCACAGAATGTCTGTCTAATAATTTTATTTCAGATTTTTATTTATTTATTTTATTTATATTTGGATTTATATCCCGCCCTTCTCCTCGCGGACTCAGGGCGGCTGACAATCAGTTAAAATACATAAATAACAATACAAATTTAAAATTAATTAAAAGAAATATTAAACTTTGTCCAATTAAAATGTAATTAAAACCCCTCTAAAAATTACCCTAGGCCAGTCCTGCAAGCTGGAATAACCAAGTCTTA